ACTCCAATACATCAAAATAATATATATCTCGCCTTTTATGTAGAACGGACGACCCCATGAATTACAGATAAATTACAGGGTTGGATAAATATATATAAATCGCTCGATCAACTTAGATCTTCTGTTGTATGTCCCGACATCTCATCCGATCATCTTGGTGGGCGATGAAAATCGGAATATCTCTACTGGGATTACTTGGAGAAGAAGAAGAGAAATCAAGAGAAAGAAGAGAGAACATAAGGGACGTCGATTTTGCTCTCTCACGCGTGAATAGTGACTTCAAGTCTTCTAATCTTAAAAGATATGATGTATTTATAGGATACAACAGGGATTCGAATGAGGTATTAAATTGGACTTATAGGCCAAGCCTACCAAACCCAAATAGTAATAATACGTACACTCCACTAAAATAATATTATTGAATAAACTCCCAATTTAATTCCCAAATTATATTCGAGTCTCCAATAATAATTACTCGATTTATCTCCCCGTGTTAATGTCCATTAATTAATTTAATCACTGACAATTAAATTAATAGACATTTATAACCGATACTAATACCACTCATACCATTATTATGTCGGAATAAATTCGACTGGCCAGATTTAACATAATAATCCTTCATGAGCTCATCTCTGGGACATCATCAAACTATCGCACACGTTGCCGTAAATATCCTAATAACACATCATACATAGAATAATATTACCCAATACAGTAGAAATATTAACTCAGCGAACTGAACCTCAACCAACTGAATCAAAATAATATATACTGCATATATATGTCTATTTAATACCTTACGGGCTAAGAGTATGCAGTAACTAACTGAGGCCTAGTTCGTTTACGACGATCAGTATAAAACAAATTTCTCCTCTATGGGATCCGCATTACACAAAGTGCACTAGTGTAACTAATCAGTCAAGACCAATTGTACAGTTAACACTACAACCATTCGGATGGGGTTTTCATTTCCATCTAGTTTGTGAACCATTAATTCTTGTTCACAAGTAACTGATAGAATGATCTTCTGTTCGTCTGATGATGACCCTTTCTATCTAAGTGCAGAACAACATAACATAGACTTTTTTAATTAAACATAATTCTCATACAAACGGGTTCAGTGCAATACATCTAAAGCCAAACTTTCAGTATATACACCAACACAAGGTTATACAGAACCTGAAGTGAAGAAAAACACGAGAGGTCGACCCAAAAACACCAATTCAACGAAGCGTCAACCATCGAATGGGAGTATTGGGACAGAGGTCATCCACTGAAGCGTAAGAGCAGTTCTTCGTCTGCCCCGACAAGCTCGTCTTCTCTCCCTTCACAAGAGGCAGAAGGTGACATATTTTTTTTTCTTATCTGAATGTTAACTAAATTATTTATATAAATTGTGGCGTGAAATTATTATGATATTATAGAGACTCGCCCGACAAATATATTTGAAATTATACATTGTCAAAAAATTCCCTGGGTAGTTTTGGAGTACATAGAGAGCTACATGGATGTGAAAGTAGATGGGAATTGTAGATTTTGGGTAATCGAGAGTTATGTGTATAAGGACAAGGATATGTGGCAACTGGTAAGAGCCAACACTGCAAATGAGGTTAAATGCTACAGTGCCTTGTACACTCCTTTCTATTTTAATGAGGTCGATGCCCCACTCAGACGAATAAGATGTTAGGGGGACCCTTGTGGCGAGGAGCATTGGATGGAAGTTGTATCTGACCTCTTCCTTGCTGCTACACTGTTTTATGCAGTTGTGGTTTTGTTAGAAAGGGTACCAATATCGACAATTATAGTACAACAGTATTGCCGCTCCATGCACCATCCACGACTATACGACCACAACGCGAGATTTTCATGTCATATTGGTTCTTACGAACACTATATTTGTGTGGATCTGTCTCCTAATTTTCCATTTATCGCCTATTTATTATTTGTGGTTTAGATACTGAAATTTGACGGTTGAAGGTTGGAGGTTTTCTACCAGAACAAGATTTAGTTGTGGAATAATATTCGTAATGCACCTTGATATATTATGATATGCATATTCGGCCTTTTTTGTACATTGATTGTTATGACAAAATATTCGTAATGCACAAGAAAATATGCCACACGAGTCGATTGTCATGGAATTGTTATGCATTGAGACATGAGTCGATTGTCATGGAATTGTACAACATTTAACACGAGTCGTGTGGTCTTGAGACACGAGCCGTGTGACCTCACACAGTTAGTCACACGACCCGTGTGGCTGCGTGTTACACGAGTAAGTGCACAGATAATGCGAAGCTTTTAGATATACCTATAGTAAAGTCAATTATAAGATAATATCATATAATATATATGATTGTTTGATATATACCATTTTCTTACATTTTATAAAGTACAGAACATAATCATTCAAAAGTCAACACTAATTTTATATTATCTGGCAGGTTATTCATAAAAAGAAGAACTATACTGGTGTTTTCATAATTACCTTTGATATGAAGTATTTGATGCTGTCATGAGCATCTGAAACGATGTATAATTCCTCTCTCTTATGTAGGGAAAATTTCAACTTGCTGAAAAACCATGAGTATGACTCATTGTTTTTCGAGTCCACGACGCAGAAAGCAAGTAGTACGTGCGAATTTGCATCTTGCATACATGCTGTTAGTAAAACCCCCTCGTATGTAGACTTCACAAATGTTCCATCAACCACAATGATAGGCTTACAATGTGGCCAACCCTTGATCGAAGCATTTAGAGACATGAACATGTACATGAAATGTTTATCTTTAGTAGTACATAGATTCACAATACTTCTAGGATTCGAGTGACTGAGCTTTTGAAGGTACTCATGAATGTATTCGTATGATTCATCCGGTTTTCCCTGTACCTCGTCTAGAGCCTTGCGCTTTGATCTCCATGCCTTTTTGTATGATAACTCGATACCATATGTCAACTTCATATCGTGTATAATTTCTCTAGAGTTGTATTTTGCATTCAGGTTTGTGAATTTCCCCTTTATGTATTCACTAACAAGCGCTGGCGTGGCTTGCCGTTAGTTGTTTTTTCTCACCTCAAATGGACAGTTGTGATCATTCACCATTTCCATGATTTTGAACATACTCGACTGTCCTACTCTAGATGATTTAATGAACCAACACCAATCCCATGGACACTTTACGAAGTACTGTTTAGGACACGATTTTTCTACCTTGATATGGAACTGGTGCTTGATTGCATACAACACAAGTATTTTCTACAGACTTGTTTTGCTAGGAAATGAATGTCCAACTGATGGATTGTGCATCACTTCGGCCGCATTACCTGATGTTGTATCAACAACTCCATATGTGGTCTGTTGTTGTTCAATATTTGATGCAACTAACGACATGGCTTCTACACCTTCCCTTGCAAAATCCATAAAATTCATAGACTTTGAAGCCTCAGTTAAATTGATCAAAATCCAAAGCAGCAACAATGCACGAATTCCCTGCAACTTCGTCGCGATCTGCATTTTATGAGGAGTAGAACTGGAACCAAAGTATTTTTTTGTTCCTTAATCCCACGTACTGGGAACTTAGTGTAATAATCCTTCCTTGTCTTCAATTCCATGTAGAATTCAGAACTTTGATCATCATCAATTTTAATTGTTGGATATCCATCTCGTACTTGATACTTAAAACTCAACCTTGATTCCATGTGGTTTATCTTCAATAGATCTGCAACTTGCTTGGTGAAATCATTGAAACAACAATTCTGACTCACCAGTATTCCCTCAACTTCAAAATTAATGTAAGTGTCGTTACACCACTCTCCATTGTAGTGCAAAAACACCATAATCGTTGACATTTTGCTGCAAATTACCACACACAAAATCTCAATTAATACTACAAAAAACGGATTGTTTAAAAAAAATACACCCAAGCCGCCATGGTTGCAAATTAAGCATTTTGTTAAATGAAAATAGCATTGGCCACCTCAAATCAGACGAAAAATATTCGAAATATACTTCCAATCTCTTAGATCGGTGTCGACTTCAGATTTGAATGAAAGTGCTCGCGAGCTCGAGATCAGAAAATTTCCTCTCAGACACGATTTCCACATTTCAATAATAGAAAGGTGATTTTTTCTGTTTTGGATTATTTCAACAATTTCCTTTTTAGTAGCATCTTTTTTTATTCCAAAACGTGCGAGCTGATTTTGTCGATTAAGAATGCACACCGATTTTCCCTTCCTTTTGTTGTAGCTTCGTAATTTTGGTTATTAATTTTTATGCGGCTACAAATCTCCGTTTAACCTTTAAACCTCATTTAATTGGCATGCTGTGAGACTAAACACGTGGATGTGTTTGTATTTTTGCCAACAAAAAAGGCTTAACTAAGTTATCGGCCTAATTCAAAAAAATGCTTCCTAGCTTTGATCCAACAAAAAGGCCCAATTTCACTGAACTATCTTAGCATATCAACCAAAACCCTAACAATTTTCCTCATTTTTTATTTCCTCTTTCAGTATTAACTCTCCCATCCCCCTATCTCAAGCTCAACGCCATAAACATGCCGCCGAAGTTCGATCCCTCTCAGGTCGTCGACGTTTTCGTCAGGGTCACCGGTGGAGAGGTCGGCGCTGCCAGCTCTCTCGCCCCCAAGATCGGTCCTCTCGGTCTCTCCCCGAAGAAAATCGGTGAGGACATCGCCAAGGAGACGGCCAAGGACTGGAAAGGCCTCCGCGTCACCGTCAAGCTCACTGTTCAGAACCGTCAGGCCAAGGTCACCGTCGTCCCCTCCGCAGCCGCTCTGGTCATCAAGGCTCTCAAAGAGCCGGAGCGCGACCGTAAGAAGACGAAGAACATCAAGCACAACGGCAACATATCACTCGATGACGTAATCGAGATCGCCAAGGTCATGAGGCCGCGGTCGATGGCTAAGGATCTGTCCGGCACCGTCAAGGAGATCCTCGGCACCTGCGTGTCCGTCGGGTGCACTGTCGACGGGAAGGATCCCAAGGATTTGCAGCAGGAGATCGCCGATGGGGACGTGGATATTCCGCTGGATTAAGGTAAAGAAGCTATGTGTGGAGTTTAATCCTATTTTACATCAATTTTTGTTAGTTTTCGTTTCTTATTTACAAATGGGCTTCGAGGAAAGAACCTTTGTACGGGAATTTTCTTTTTCTTTTTGTCTTCTTTGGTGTGAGATTGGATCATTGTGCTGTGTTTTGTTGATCTTTTTACTACTGCATTATTAGTATAATGTACTGTTACTTTTGGCTATCTGCAATGGTTGCTTCTGAAGGTGGCTTCTAATTCCCCCATATCTGTTCTTTTAGTTTTCTTCAGCATAATGGTTATCAGCATGCCATTATTCTTTGGGTTTGTAGAAATATCAAATAGAGCAAAGTAGGGGCTTGTTTCTTGAGCAATGAGAATATTAGAATAGCAGTTGGAAGTATTGGGGAAGTTTGTCAAACTAGGTCATCTTAGGAAGGCCAACTAAGCCCAAATAGTTCATAACAGTTTCTGTTTTC